CTACACTTGCTAGTAGTAATCTAGATTAGTAATGGCCACTTAAATATAACAAAATGTACTCTAGTTGATGAGCATCATGATTTCCTACTGCACCAAGGGGGAGCAAAGTGAGAGAATTTATAAACTGAATGCAAAGCAAGCCCTAAAAATTAATTTGTTGTCTAGTTCTTGACCATTACACTAAGGTCTGAGAGCCTCTAAAAATATTTTTTAAAAGTAAATGCTCAGCTTCTTTGCATCCCTATCTAGTAAAATAGTAGATTATGTAAACTACAACAATCTAAACCAGTGCAAACTTCTTGAGCCCAGAAAACCATTATCATTTTCCCCTAACATTCACTGACTGCCAATAGTTGTATTCATTTTAATATCAAAATATTCACACCCATCATCTCACACCTGGAGTCTTCCTGGACTGCTGCAAAAGCGAAAACTCAGATGGGTTATTTTTTCTGAGGCTAGCATGGAAGATGCAAATTGCTTTGGCTAATAGCTCCTAGAAAACCTACAAAATACTGAGTGTCAAATCACTGGCCCTGATAAGTCTGTTTTGCAATTCTCCAGCTCCGTGTCCCCTCCAAAATCACAGCTCCAGACATAGGGGATGTTCCAGGAGAAGGAAAGGGCGAGGTCAGAATGCACCTTGATTCAGAAATTCTTAATATCCACAACAGCACCTTGAAGGCCATTGTAGGTGGTGATAAACTAGAGAAGTCTTGAGGCAGCTCTAATTTATGCTGAAGGTCGAACAGTCGCCCGACAGCCCTAAGGATATAGCCACTTTTGTCCTGCTGCAACTTAGTCCTGAATTGATCACAGCTCAGCCAGACCCAAGATTAAGATGCTGGGTGATTTTTTTCAGGAGAGAAGGATGAATCTTTAGAGAAGACACCTTGATATATTCTCCTCCAGGACCTATCTTAAAGTCCCCCTACTATCTGGTGTAATTCTGGTGCATTACAAAGGCAAAGTCAGCCTGGCAGGGATGGTATATCTCCCCAGGAGATAAACCTGATCAGAGGCAGGGAAAGCACACACACACACAGATCCTAACTGTGTGTGTGTGTGTGTGTGTGTGTGTGTGTGTGTGTGTGTGTGTGCATGTGCGAGTGTGTGTGTGGGGGGGGCGAGCGTGCCCAGGCATGTATAGTGACCATTTGTTGGCTAGCCCCTATAAACATAATAATTTGGGAAAACCCTTGTAATGACCCATTGTAAATTATTTCCATTAAGAAAGCTGATGCAGCACTGCCTTCCTCAACATATAAAAAATCAAGGGATTAGTATAAAATACATGAGGGTTTTTGGTTGTGTTTGTTTGTTTTAAATCACATTTTGGGCCTGTTGTGTGACTCCTGCATTTTGAACTCTTAAATCTAAAGATCTTGACACCCATTAGTGTGCACATGTTTCAGAGTGCAAATTGAACCTGAAATAAACACAACAATGTGTGTGGGGGGGGAATTCCCCACCCATCGTACTTCACTTCCTTGGGTTGTACTGGGATCATCACATTGCCCCCAGTTTTATTGCACAATAATGAAGCTGGAGAAGGATAAGAGCATGCAGCTTCTAGTGGCTAGAAGTAGGGACTGTAGGCAGTTCAGCTTCTAATTCCTGAGTTGCCTCCTCGCCTGCAGTTTCTCATGTGGTTGAGAAAAATTGCAACACCTTCAGTAATCTCATGAGTTTGAAGCTTTGTTGTAGAAGTTAACTATATATTCAGTCAGATTGTGTATCAGAGGGAGTAAGATGCTCCTTACCACTGAGTAGGGTTACCATATTTGAACTTTCAAAAAAGAGGACACTCGGGGGGGGGGGTGTAGCCCTGCCCCCTAGCCACTCCCTCCTAATTCCCGCCCCCCTGACTGCCCCTCACAGAACCCCCAACCCATCCAACCCTCCCTGCTCCTTGTCCCCTGATCGCCCCTTCCCGGGACCCCTGCCCCTAATCACCCCCCGGGACCCCACCCCTTATCTAAGCCTCCCTTATCTTTGTCCCCAACTGCCCCCTCCTGAGACCCCCCCACCCTACCTGTCCCCTGACTGTTCTGACTCCTATCCACAC